AGTAAACAATTTACAGTTGGCACGACGTGAGCAGCTGTAAATGCCGAGATCAACTGTGAGCAACAGATGTCAGCAAATTGAAACTATCGGCAACTGGTGGTGGATTTGTTCGTGGAGAATGTGCGGCGCTGTTCGGCTTTGGAAGGGGCAGTGTGCACTTATGATAGCTTCTTTTGTAGTGCATTTTGGCAACCGGTAGGCACTTGCAAAGCTGCCAATGATACGAGGGAGCCACTTTGGAGAGACTACCTTAGAGGACTTTACAGAGATAACATGTATAGGATACGACGAATTCCATCTGGTGTCCACCTACCGAATCGAACTAGAGAACGGGGCACCCAGGTAGCGTTCCAGCTTTTTTGTGCAATACAATAGAATGTAGGAAAAGTATTGATAATCCTTTGTTTGATCTTTCTCTCTATGTAAAGCTTTTTGTATGTTTACTCTTTGTATCCTAAATATTGAGGCGACGGTGGTGTAGTGGCAGGTGACGCGTCCTTGTGGTCCTGGGGTCTATTCTCGGATTAACTTTCGCTCAGAAATACAAGCCTTCTACCCTCCTGGATGCTAAATTAGTACTAGAATCGTCTGGGAGGATAAGAACACTGACTTGTACATCGGCTGGCCCCGCAAGTCATTGTATAGGCCACATCGCATTCAATAAGTCACTACGATTCTGAATGAAGTAGAATGCATGTCGCATCTCAAAATGAGATTGATTTCCGGCAAGCTTTCATTTTTCAGTCTAAATGTTGTATTATCATCAAGCATCTTTTGGATTACAGGTACTAATGGTTCCCGCTAGTTCGAAGCGCAGCTCATTATTGGACTGTCATTGTGCCAGAGCAGATCGCCCGAAAACTTGCAGCTTTACTTATTACAGCGCATTATTCAGTATGGGGAGTGTTGTGAGCAAGAACACGGACTGAACCTCACTGGAATATCATTCTTCTAAGGCTGCTCCGACACATGATTAGTACAATGTCGTTGTGGACTACCCTTGGATTATCACCCGTCTCCTCGAATGTATCAAAGCAAAGGAAACCAAATCGATGAAGACTGATAGAATATCAAATATTTATTTTTGATTATTTTTACGACGAACCTTCATGCCAATCTAGTAATATGAACCAGAATCGCAGCAACAGAAAAAGCATCGAAGGCAAGTGGGCCGTTAGATGGGCAGGCGTATACGGTGAATACGCCTAGCACAGAAGAATATTGTGATCCCAACACTGGGCTGCGAGGTGCCTTTTCCAA